CATCATGGATATGATCAGAGTCATCAATAGACCTAAAAAAAAAATCCCTAAAGGACAATTCACTAACAAATTCATCTGCCTTCTTCTCTTCCTATCACACCAAGCATCAGTCATAATAGAAACCCCATACTGAGCTCATGCATCCTTCTTAACATCTACAACTTCCTTCGTGACATTCACACTTTTTTTTCAAAAGAGGCTCTGAAAGCTCATATGGGTTTGGTGGTTTCATCCGAGACCCAAATTGGCCAATTTCCTCTATCGCGGCATAGAAGTTGCTTAGGCGAGCGGTATTGAAAGGAATGCCCACCTCATAAACCCGTAACAACATAATAAGCAGCTCTATCTCTCTCTTCCTTCTTCATTCTATTTTCAATGGTAGTTTGCTTCTTTGTTTTCTCTCCTGCAACCTCAAGATCAGGCCGAGGCAAAAAACTATCTATAGGGCCTCTAATTCGAGGCTTCTTACTTCCAGAACCAAAAGCAATTACAACTCCCTTTCCCTTCCCCCTAATAATGGATTGTTCTACCTCTTGACATCCCTCCCCAATCCCATCCACATCACTATCATCATCATCATAATGACCCGAACCCCAGGCCTAATCTCTGCTATGGAGGCAAATCTCTCATCTTTTTCATTTTTACCATACCCAAAAAATTGGTTATTTCCTCTTTAATAGCATTAGGAGTCTTTTTATATGGGGCAACATCCCCCCTGTTACCGGCAAGATGTTTCTTGAACCGGTTTATGCCCCCTTTTGTATCCTTCTCACAACAAAATTTGCATCTTATGCAATTTTTATCATTAGGATCTAGGTTGTAGCCATATTTACAATCGGGATCACCACTCCTATTAGATCCCTAAGAAGATATCTCAAAATAATACAACTTATACGAGCAATAAAAAAAAATCACTTACTTTAATTGCTCAATTTCCAAACTTCCACCTTATAGATGCTTCTAAGGAATCAAAATCTTCTAAAAAAATCCCCAATAGATTTATAAAACATCAAAAATTAAATCTAATATCAATGAGTGATGTTTTGATCAATTTCTCAAAACTTTGAGAAACCCTTCGATCCTAAAGAAATCACCAAAAACTCGTTTTTTGAGGGCTTTCTCTCTCTAAAATGCGCTCTAATGAGTTTTAGGTTTCAAATGAACCGAAAACCCCCATTCTTAGCCCCTTAGTATAAAACAAATTGACAAAAATAGCCCCCACCGAAAGCATTTTTCGCCTCTGGGCGGGGCACTGGACCTGGGCGGCTGCCTAGGCGGTTTCCTGGGCGCCTAGGCGAGCGCTCAAGAACCTCCACTGTTTTTGGGTGCCTAGGCCTGGGCGATGTACCCAGGCCCCCAGATCTGCCTAGGTGGCCGCCCAGGCGCTGAGCGGTCCGCTTTTTAAAACATTGGACCTATCTTCTCAAAGCAACCCAACGAGATCCATGACCTACAATCTCATGCATGGGGTGACTCGTCAAAATTGGCCAACAACTAGTGGAACCACAATCCTGGTAATACGAATTACAGCCCCCCCCCCCCCCCCCCCAAACGATCAAATCACTCGAATACATCACTATAGTGCAAGGGGGACTCTCTTTATGCACATATACATGTATCCCTTCTCAGGGTTTCTTCCTAGTAATATGGTTGTCTATAGCCATGTGGAATTTTGCTAAGGATTGGCCCTTGCTTTCACATGCCTACATCCGCACACAGAAGACCACAAATCTCTCCTAGACTACAAACCATCCCTGAGCATCTGTCCGACCTCAACAAGGGATGATCCTCTGTAAACCTTTTTCCATAGTGTCATGCCCAGGGGTCAAGGTTTTGGATGACCAGGGCCATAGAATGCCTAACCCTAGGTTAGTCAACTAATGCATACACTCCCACTAAAGCATATAATCCACTATAATTTATATTTACATGCTCCCACCGCATTTAAAGGCCACAAACCCCAACAATTTCGATGTAGCAAAGCACAATTTCAGTGCTCTGCAGTAGCAAAACCCCCGTCAAATGAGGGCCTTTATGTTGAGTATAGCAATCTCATAATTGGAGTTTTAAAGAGCCATATGCGAGGCAATGTGGAGTTCACTTAGGAAGAGGAAAATGCGCTACTGGGTGGAATATTGGATCTTGACAACTAAATTTCGATAATATACATAACTCAGGGCATTCTCCGAATGTTATCAAGTGAATAAAAACTAATCAATGATAGAACAGATTTTCGGTGAAACCATATTTACATGTTGTGTTGATATCATATATTTTAAGGAAGAAAACTTGTTGGTTAACAAAATGATAAGTTTAGGAGCACATGGGAAAGGAATCAGAGTTTTAGAATCATGCACCACCTCTTAAGACTATTCGTTGTTATTTATAGGATCGGTTAAGACTTGGTAAGACTCACCCATACCTGGGATGGACACCGCAGAGTCCCATACAAGACTCGACTAGTCATGTGTGAACTCAGGTAAGTGTTTCCAAGAATGCAGGTGCCAAAGTTGGACTTCATAAAAATCAGCACCTACAAAACCAACTTGACTCAGGCGAGTCAGGAATCAAAAAAGAGTTAAAAAACACTGTCCCAGAATGCCAATTGCGGACTGTCCCAGAATGCCAATTGCGGACCAGACTGCATCTCCAACTACATTTTAATGAATTTCTTCAAAGAGAGATGGGACAAATAGGGTTTGTTGTTTAATATGTATACAGGTTTACAGAGAGCTAGTGCAGAAAACCTCAATATCAGGTGCTTATGGCAGTTTTTTCAATCCTGTGACAAAGTATGATATTTAACTTTTAAGGGGAAGAAAATAACAAAGCAATTTATATAAACAATGCTCAAAATAGAGTTCCTATTCAATATGGACAATGCGCAAAATAGAGTTCCTATTCGATATGGGAAACACATAAAATGAAACTAGAGTCTAGACCAACATATTCCAACCCAAAACTGGAAAGTAAAGATGGAACAAATTAGTCACAAACTTTTTGGGAAACTATAGGATCCGAAGGGATACCTCTCTACGAACTTTAAGTTGTTCCTGAAGGAGTTGCCGTCCATTGAGATACAAAATATCAAAAGAAAAAATGCAAACTGAAACTTTTATTTCACTCAAAGTAACACCTTTTCGAGCACGACCGCTGAGAACCTGCAATAGGTAAAAGCACACACGATTTCAAATAGGATATGCAAAAGCAAAATATCGTATTGACCAAAACAAAGCAGAACATCATGGTTATCGAAAACACACAACATAAAGAAATTCCACCATCGGCAGGCAGGAACTAAAAACAACAACAAAAACACAATCAAGTCAGAAAATCAAAACCAAAGCCCAAACAAGTAATTCCAGTCAAATGTAACATTTTAGGATAATTATCAATGCGTAGAGAATATAACCTGAAACGGCAAAATCTTCTGCTTCTGACGATCATAAGCAACAACTTCGCAATCCAGCACAAAAGATGTAACAGAAGGCTTCTTGAATCTGCACTTAACAATAAAAATCAGGCAGTAACGGATTTTTAAGTAACTTCTTTTTCATTCAAGTAAACTCCTTCTAGATAGAAAATTGTAACTATCCCAACATTTCTATGTCAACATAAAGTCCAAAATTACAATAACAAAGCCACTCTCCTAGGCATATTGCTCTAATACAAGAAAGTGATCGCCCATAAATAATTACCAAGGAAATTCAGACAAGAGGAACATTTACTAAATTTCTAGAAATGGATACAGCCCAGTAACACAACTAAAAAGACAAACTGCCGTAAGAGAACGCATGCTCAATTCTGTGGCTTCAGGACTGTGGTTCAAATTCTCAATTTCATATTCCTGGCCATAGGCCTTACATGATGCAAACTTCTGACCAAGTTATACTTGGGCTTCAAACCAAACAATAGCATGGCCAGTATTCCTAATACAGAAACGAAACTTAACCATCATAAGAAATATGTCAAATTTAGGGAAGCAATAACTTCTAAAGTTTCAGAAACCCAACTCCTATATCTTTATGGAAACCCAACAAAACAAGAATATAGAATCCTAGAATCCTAGAATCCTAATTGAATGGGAGCCACATAGAAGCATTGGTTTTGTACGCAGATACGCCCTCTTAGGATGCCCTGGTGGAATCCATGCTCCAACTAGGATGCTTTAGTGGGACCCACAGCTCCCTCACTTGGTCCACAACCCTTCTTAAGGGTGTCAGAAATAGCAACATCACCATTGATGGCCAAAGTAGAATCCAATTATACTTTGCAGTTGGCAGATATCTTTGAGGAGATATGGACCTTGAGAGAAGTGGATCACATCTTGCACATTTCGCGTGAGCCCAGTATGGATTTCGACATTTTAGCTCAGGGAGGAGTCAGTACAATAAATTGTTTGTTCACAACCCCATTCAGCAGTAACTTGGAGTTGTGATTGCATCCACACAATCATTGCATTAGTCATCCCCTCTACTCCCTCCCTTCCTCCCTAATCACATTGCTAGGGTCTCCTACCAATAATGGCCTCCAATGTTGAGAATAACACCATAGGCCTGAAAGAAGAGCTCTGATTTGGATTCACAAGCATCACAAACCCTAATAGGCCTCAAGATGTCATTAAAAATAGAGTCCAAAGAACCCCAGAAAAAGTCACCAAGAGAGACCGACCAGGATTACCTAAAGATCTATGGACAAAATTAAGACTTTTATTTCTCAAGGAAAGGGGATCCAATGGACCAGAATGGTGAAAATTTTAACACGATGGGAGTTAACGTCTTTCAACATGGGAAACCTCAATGCAAATTGAGCTCCCTTGATATGAGAACCTCCCTAGCATATATACCTTGAAAAGGAGATACCTTCCCCATCTCTTTCAGCGACAAAAATGAGCCTAGACATCTAGACAAAAGAAATCAACGACCATCGAGTCCTGAAAGACATTCTTATCCCAATCCTCATCCCACATTTCGAAAATCTTGGATTTATTTCTAACTGTTTCACCAAAGTCTGTCAAAAATTATCCCAAAATGTTCCTAGCACATTCATCTACAAAAGCCTTAACAAAAAATCTCAAATCAAAACCAAAAATCTTTAAAATCAAATTTGCATTCTTTTTCCGCCATTTTATTTGATTCTCCTCTGTTTTTTTATCTATTATCTCTCAAGAAAACACAATTACAATCTGTTTCCAACTACTCTATAAGATTTAAATCATTTTTTGGATCTATAGCTCTTATTAGATGAAATTCGGTTTTTTTTTTTTTCCTGATTGAGCTTCACTTTTTTTATTTGAATCTATATTGTTTTGAATTAAAACTATTTTTCTGAATGTTACTTTTTCACATTTGTTTCCTTTTTTTCTTTTTTTTGGTTTTTAATCCCCCCTAAAAAAAAAAATTCTCCTTTTTAATATCGTGGGTCGTCAATCTGACCCTGGAACCCGTGGGTGACCATTTCAATCCTGCAGTCTGATCTTTTCAACACTTGGTAAACCACAACCATCTAAACCACTGACTTCCTACATCCCCCAAAATACACAATCATCTATGAACCACCTCTCGCCTATTCAAGTGGATCCTCCATAGAAGCCTCAGCCACAAAAGAAATCCCTTGAAGCAACTAGAAAAGATCCACCATTGCAAAGACCAGCCCGAAAGAAAGCACTAACAAAACTACATATTTAACATGAAAGCAAACTACTTAAAAGTGGAAGAAAGGTCTCTGAAGTTCCCTAGGCTTTGGCTTAGTGGTAAACACCCCTGGTTTGTACGTTGGAAGTCAGGAGTTCAACCCTTCAGTTAAACCAAAAAGCAAACCATGCCAACCTACCCTTCGGAAAAAAAGGAAAAGAATGTGTATGAATGATGTGAATGAATGTTTTTAAGAATATATTTCCATTTTTGAGTTGACATAACATGAGAATGTAGTGGTTAGGGACCCTCGCTTTAAATATCTCTGTATAAACTTTCTTAATGAAATACAGTTAACTTTTATCAACAAAAAAAAAAAACAAACGAATGTAGTGAATCAAACAAGAAAAACATGATAACAAAATGATCTGTACTACTCCTAAGGCATTTTGATGCTAGAACATCCATAAAAATGAATAAATGATTCAGGTAGAGAACACAGAAAGTTTTGACAAAGAAGATATTTATGGTTATTGGGCACACCTACCTTGAGACCGAATCGACGACATCTGGGAACTTTCCAGTATTTCTCTCAGCATTCCTGCTGTATATCTCAACAGACCCATTGTCCAAGTAATGTATCTGTAACCAAATCACAGAAAATAATCAATATAAAAAAAAATAAAAGAAACCACCAAGCAATGATACAGCATTGAGGCAGTGTCTTAAAACTACCTGGGCACGTTCACCATCATACTTGTATTCACAAGTAAATTCAGTATCCTGGAACTTATCTAAGATCTCTGATACACCTTTTGTTGGCTTTGCTAACATTGGCCCAACAGGTACACCCAAAGTAAAGCAACATGTATCTGAGAGCTTCCTAACACCAGCAGAAAGAAGAGCAGACACAATTTTGTCATATATCGGAGCCACAGAGTAGACTTGTTTAACTATTTTCGAGGCCTGATAACACAATGAACCATATGTTAGCATTTCAGCATCAAGTGACAAGTTAAAAGTCTCAGCTAACAAGTCAAAGAGAGCATGCCCATCCAAAGGATGAAAAGAAAGAACAAGAAATTACATAGCTTGTCCATGGTCCACATTGGAATTATAAGTAGTTAATAGTAGATGGCTGTATTTACCAATATTCATGATGAAACCTTCTTTCAGATGAGGCTAAATTTCACACAGAAAGGACGTCATCCAACAAAGAAATAGAAAATTTATAAATTTTATTTAAAATTAAAATCCAATCAACCCACAAAATAAAGCAAAAATGGGCACAAAAAAGGGCAATAAAAAGTTGATTATTTATTAATCCAACTTTATTTAGTCGATAAATAGTATTCTAATATTCCTTTGAGGTGTAGTGTATGCAAAAGTAATCCCACAAAACACAACAAAAAATATTATGATGTGGCACGTTGTGAAACCTGAGATCAATAAAGTGAGCTGATTTTTAATTGATAAAGTCTGCTTTGTTTAACATGCATTGCTTTACAATCTCCAAAAATATAAGAGAGAGAGAGAGAGAGCAAGCAATTAAGTTCCAAATGATCATCTTCCTGGCCTCTTGTTGTACCTTCAAGCGGCTAGGGCGGATCGCTCAAAAGTGGGGATTCATTTAAACAAGATCAAGGTATATATGTAGTTGCACATAGCGCACATAAATGGAGATGTATGCCAAGCATGATTGAACAAAGAGAAAAACACAAGGCAAAACCAGGGGAAAAACGTGTAGAATCAAAGGGAGTACAGAAGAAAGTGCTGATTGGAATGGGATATAAGAAAGATTATGGTAGGGTAGAACTGGATGAAACAGGTGGAGTTGGGACAATCACCCCATACTAGTAGGAGGTGTACCACTAAAGTGAGACTTTTTAGCAACAACCTCGTGAGCTGAAGTGTTAAGTCCCCGAGTTGAGTGGTGGCCCATGTGGTGGAAGGAAATTGGCTCACGACCTCAAAATGTTGTATCCTCTTTTTAGTCTTCATAAGAAGGGGTCTACGCCATTTGGTTATTGATATTTTGGGCTTGTCTACATGACAATTAATCTTATTAGGAGTAGACTTCCGTATTTGAAATTAATATACTTTGCATGACATCATTTAATTAGATGTTTGGTAAATGCTAAACACACACACACATTGCAGGAATGAATCCACATGGCATGAAAAGAAGATACTACACCAAAGGCTCATAAGTTTGTACTTATATACCACCATATGTTTCCCTCCTCCCATCCCTCCCTCCCTCTCTCACTCACACACAAACATTAATGTAGTAACCAAGACTACTATAATTACTAACCTCCTCAAGCCGAGACTGGATTTGTGAGGATGGAACTGGTGGAACTTCAGAATATACCATTGCATGTCCCAGTGCTACTAATACTGTCTGCTCAGCCAATCCAATACGCATCTTCGTCTGCCACAAGAGATTAACATTCAAAAGCAAATCTAAAGTAACAATGACATCAAATAATGGGAAAGCTGCAAGGATGACCTGGAGTAAGCGGACCAAATATTGGGGTTCACAATCAGTTGCACACACAAGAAGTTCTTGAATTGTCCCTTGCTTCGCATCTTGGCTTCGCTTACCCGATTGCTGTAGGAAGTGAAGAAAAAACAATTGTCTGAAAGAAGTCAAGAACAAAGACAACATATAAAAATACACTTACAACCATGACCAACACATCCTACTAAAAATCAGACATACTACAGGCCAAAGAACTCTTATTGCAGATTTAAGCATTCCAAATTGTAAAGGAAAACGAAAAAGAAAGCTAAAAGCTGTGGGCCACGTAGACATAGTAATGAACAAAAAGAAAGTAAGACATGCTCTAAAAAAAGAATACAAGGAAAAAGGCCTGATCTCAAAGTAAATAAAATTGACAGTTACTTGTTCACCTAAGACAGACCCTACAAAAGATGAATTATTCAGTTCCCAAAGGTAAAGCCCATATCATTAAAACAGCCACAGACTGACCAATTAAAAAGAAAAGAAAAAGAAAACAGTCAAAAACTACGGAAACTTTCACATCCTTAGCCCCAATAATCAATTGGGGCTTTAGGGAACCTCATGAAATTTAAGAGAAATCAGGGCTGTGATTTACATAGTAATAGTGTCATTTCCGGGAAGAATCAAACAGTGAGAGAAGGCAAGCCAAACACATGAGGAGAAAACAGAGTACCTGAAGCTAAATATACCATCAGGAACATAATTGACCGATTGAATTCTACTTTAACCCAGAGAAATGACTTAAAAGTAACACTCCTTGGAAACAGTTTGCACTAGAAACACACATACACGCATGCACACATAGACAGACAGATAGAGAGACACATACATGTGCATACACACACACACACACACACGTGCGCACACACAGATTTTTATATTCATAACATGTATATCATAGAGTGCAATTGATATTTCAAAATATACAACATATTTTGTAATAGTACATACAATTTATAGCAGTGCAACAAAATAAACAAATATTCTGTAAGTATTCACACATTTTTTGCCTTTATATATATATATATATATATATATATATATTCCTAATACTTATTGACAGCTAGAATATAGTCACACACAACACATGCACGCACACAGACACAAAGACAAAGACGAGCGCGTGCACACACACACATTCCAAATATTTTATTGACAGCTAGAATATAATCATAGAGATTTTAGATACTTAAACTGTATTCGAAAATGTATGGGAATATAAGCAAAACACAGCAATGAGAAGAAAAACACCTTGGCAATGATACGAAATTTCTCCAAAACCTTGACCACTGTAAGTGGAGTGACCTTCACCATCAATCGTTGGGTTGACCGATTTGACTTCGCAACAAGGCCTAAATCACCCAATTTCTGCAGTCAAAGCACTTAGATTATGCCCTAACAATAACATTCTAAAATCTTCACCAGAAGAGAAATATGTGACATATGGCAGATCCTCAAGAAAACATCAATCCATGATGTAATGCCTTAATTAAGAAACCATTAATGGTAAACAATGCACATTTTGTATTTAAACACAAATATGTAACAGTCCAATGCATGTAAAACTACACAAAATGTGTCTCATTTTTCTTCAACTAAAAAAATCAATGTTCCACATCACATAATGATGCTTCTAGATTTTTGACAGGACTACAACATCAGTCTTCATTTTATATTTAGGTTCTTGATGACAGCCACGTCCAATGCCTTATGGAGCATGAGTATCTCAAAAGTCCCTCAAGTGTTAGGTAGAAGATTGGCATACTCTAGCTAGGTTATGATACAAATTACTAAAATTGAACGCAAATGAGCTTTTGCTTTTGTTTCCTTTTCTCCAAAAAATTGTGGTTGTTTCAGATGGCCAAGAAAGTGAAGCTCAGGAGCATGTCTGAAGAATGGACCAAAAGTAAGTGGTCCACGCATCCAAAATAGAAGAGAGTGACTCATGCTTTGCAATATTGATTTTGGGATAGGTATCTTATGCCCTCCAAGATTTTGACCCATTGGTGAAGGTATTACCCATGGTGTATAGTGAGAAGGAACCACTAACAGGTCAAACTTACAAGGTAATAGAGGTTGCCAAGAAAGATATTAAGAAAACCTCTAGATATAATGAAAAAATCTATGGTCAGATTTTCAAGAATGAGGGCAAAAAATTGAACACCCAATTGCAGAGGCCCCTGCATGCAGTAGGGTACTATCTCAACCTTGCTCACTTCTATAGTGATCATCAATCATGTGATTGAGTCTAAACTTGAGCTCGTACTAGACTTGTGCAACATAAGACTCAACTAAGCTAGAAATCCGACCAAGTGAAATTCGAGCTGGATAACTGTAGATTCTCATTGGAGTCTATTGGGAATGACCTAGGAATAAGGCGAAGTACCAAAATCTATCCAGATGATTACAAAATTGACCTACTTTTCATTGTGAATATGTGATTTAAGTACTTCTAACTTCACTTATCATTTGCTAAATATACTTGAATACCCTTATTATGTAAAGTCACTTCATGGTAGAACACACATTGGGGATGGGCAAGGCACTTGCAAAAACTGGCTCAGCGATTTGAATTTCATTTGTAGCTCATCTTCTTGAGCGCACAACTTTAGCACATTCGAGATGGTTTCTAATTCATTGTTAATTTGTCCCCGTCTCCTCCTATATCCTATGAGTCATGTATGCCTATTAAGGCAGCCCTAAGCCCCAAACTTGCAGCTCATTTTTTATTTTCCTAAGTTTTAACCATGCATTAATGCATTATGCAAAAGGAACATAGAAGTAAGAAAACAGGGTCAAGTAGAAGATACTGAAAAATCTTCTTTACGTCCAGTACAACCATAGGATAAAGGAACGCCATTAGGAGTGCAAAATCAAACCAACCCATTTCTGTGAGACACGTAGATGAATTCAATGAGAGGTTTGTTAATGCTGGAGATGTATTTGTTGGAGAGAGCTCGACCAGGAGCCAAGTTTGTGACATGGAAGTTGGAACCTTATTGAGCCCTTTGCAGGCCACTAGATCTAAATCTAGAAGGACGAAGAGGAAAGAGTAAGACTGAAGTTTGGAGATGAGGAGGTTGAGGAGGAGATCATGGAAAAAGAGTAATATGTTGAGGAAGGGGATAACTATGATGATGATGGGTTGGCATCATCATCAAATGAAGTGCAGTTTGTGGAGGTCGAAGAGAAGGAGAGATGATGGTGTTCCTAGTGCTATTGGTGGTGGTGGTGGTGGTGGTGATGATGATGAAACGCAATCTGAAATTTGGGTTAATAAGATTGTGTATCATGGTCAATGTGGATTGTGGAGTATGGATTGATTATGACATAGTTTAGAATTATCTTTGAATTTCAAGTTTCAAGTCATATGTTTTGAGTTTGAGAAAGTACAACATAGTAGCACACAAAACACTTGTTACTTAAGTGTAGCACACAAAAAACTTTTCTTTTTAAATACTTGTTACTTAAGTCCAATTAGGGGTGTCTAGTATCCAACCCAAATCCCTAATAACCTCCTAAAGGCCTCCAAACCCCCCACAACCTCTGTAAACTAGGAGACTGCCCGACTGCCTTGACAACCCAATCCGCATTCTTAAATATTCTACATACTTAAGCGCTTGGTATATTGACGTAATCTTTTGTGTTCCATTGAATTTAATGAATGCCTTTTGTTACCATGTATCATTCTAATTTAACTCTAAATTATATTAGAGTAGAGAAAGAAATGCCTTTTTTACTCTTTATCAACGACTTAGACAATGAAAATGTTAAAGACAATTTACTGAATTAAAATGCATACTTAGTGTTAAAAACACGAATTCGGCCACCGACATGGTCAGGGTTCCTGGTCCCTATGCCGACAAAGCAGCTGCCTAGATTTTTGGGCAGCCCAAAGTGGAAGGGATGGGGGGAGGGCCATGGGGTTTGAGTGACCTATGCTTTTTTTTCTTTTTCTTTTTTTTAAGATGGTAACAATTGGGGTTTGATGGATGCCTATCCAATAATATTGGACGAACACTTTTTTAACAATTCCTTTTTAATGTGATGATGTTGGACAATTGTTACTTTTTTTTTTGTTTCTTTTTTAATGTGAAACGGTTGGACAGTTTTTAGCACTCAAGTGCATACACCATGTGACTCTCTCTCTCTCTC